TCACAGTTCCCCTATACCGACAGGCTGATGAGTGCTCTCAGAGAACATGAGGAAGTCGAGTAGAAGCCCGTTAGGCTGTCTGTTGTGATAGCAGCTTTTCAACGTCAGACTTTCCTTGTGTTTGCTAAGCACGATTTTCACACCGTATCGAGGCAATGCTCATGAGCACGCTCCAAGCGATCATAAAAGACATCTTTGATTATATCGATATCTCTCCCCCACCACAAATTCCATACCAAATTTAAGCTCCTTTATCAGGGCGCGATAGTAAATATTACCAGAAGCTACACCCTCTCGTCCTTAACCTGTTTATCGTGCTTCTTAAACGGTGGTGATATCAGCCGTCAATTTAACGATGACATCAAGCAGCTGAGAGGGGTACATTCCCAAATAAGGTACTGGACATTTGAGGTGCATGCCCCCAGATCGTAATCCTTAGATTATTTACGGGGGTCATCATGGTCTCTCATCCGAGGTATATTTTGATTGTTCATCAAACCGCGTAGGATTCGCTTTCCCCTTTAGCTTTCCTCATAACGAATGTTTGTTTGCTCCCAGATGAAATTAGTTGATTAGTTTTTTCACGATTTCTGAGAATATTTGATTAACAATTAATTTGAATTTGTTCTTCACTATTTTCTAACAACTGTTGATCTTCTTCGTCTATTAGTTCATTTATAAAATTAAAACTCTTTTCATTAGCCTGTTTCACCACTTCTTGTAATATTTTTTGCTTGTTCTAATGCTAAGTTAAAATATCCATTCCTTTCTTTGTCCTTGGTAGATATTCTTGAATTATTTGTCTTTGTTTTACATGCGGTATTAACGTTTTACCTTTGGTACTATTTTTTTACCTGTGTTACTTTACTAATTTGTTTCTTGCTTCTAACAATCCTGCTTGTAATATCTTCTTGATATATGTCTTTATTAGAATAATATTGGTTTCGTTACTTATACTTTACTACTATGTATGTGTTCCTGACTAATTCTTGTGTACTTATTGGATACTCCATGAATCCAGCTGTCAGCTCTGTGTTAGGTGGAATATCTGGGTTACTTTTTGTCTAACTGCTGTATAGTTTTTACAAACTCTTTTTCACCCTGCTCTTCATAATTTTTTCTTTTCTGATTTAGTTGACTGCTGTTTCTAAATTATTTCATACTATTATATTACGCGATTATGTATTCGGTTTGGTGTCCATTTCCAGAAATCTATCGTTATAGTTTCTAATAGCCTTTTATATTATTTGTTTTACTGGGATCCTGTCCTAACCTATTATCTGCTATGTGTTATGAAATCTTTACACATCCGCATTACTTGTGTTGCTATTTGGTTTTGTCTGGTGAGTGTCAATATTTTCTTTAACTAAGAATTCTTTCATTTTTAAAGCTTTGAATTCCTGTCTGCCATAATTTTCCTGGGCTTTCGAAGTGATCTTCTAGCTGTTCAATAATTATTATGTGGTTTCTGTCATTTAATAGGTAAGCTGTCCTTGATTTAGAAAATTTATCTACGGCTGTCCAAAAATGTTGTCATGTCATTAAATTTCGCAGGAGTTTTCGTAATTTCCAGTTGATTCAATAGTATTTCTATCAGGCTTTACTTCCACTTTACATTATAGTTGTATTCACTTTACTTTTTGTGTGGTGTAAACTTTAGTCGTGCTCACTGTAGACACTTTTCACTATTGATTTTATACTAGTTTAAAAGAAATAAATTTATGACCAAAGAGAAATTAAAAGACCACGTGGTTGGCATAGGGGAATGATTAATTATGTTAATTTTTCATAAATTATACAAACTAACAGCGTCCGCGCAACATTCAGCAAGAATGCGCTTATTCAGATTGAAAATACATGATTTTCATAGCCGTATTGATCACATTCCTGCACATTACAAATAATAATATTATATAATATATCATTGTGCCTTTCGCCACAAGTACCTCCCTCATGTGTAGAAGTACTTGTTGAGAACAGTTAAAGAAATTCAACGAAATCTGACATGTTTATGTGTCGATGGCGTAGGTGAGCTAAAACCACCTGATGTGATGCTGAAAGCCTCGATGTTTTTATTGTAGTTGAGGCGTCTCAGGTGAAGTGGCATTAACGTTCTCGGCATGGTATTCGTCCCTGATATCTGCAACAAATAGAAGTGGTCGATTGAAATTACTTTTTTCACCCCAATACTCTATGACAAAATGCTTCGAATGATTTGATGGCAAAGTGAAGGCGTGAGCAGCAGGTTCCTCTGGCCATGTCGGGCGACGGATTAAGGAGCGACGTCGGCAAAGTGTTTTCTCAGAAGTTCTGCGATCTTAGTAGGGTAACCCTCTTAGTGGTGAATCAGCGAGGAATTTTCCCGGTAGGTGGCATTTCTATGTATATTTTCACCCACGGGTTTTTTTAAAAGTGTGAAACAATGGCTTATAACCTGTGAAGATGGCTTATGACCTATGGTGTGCCGCGAAAATGTAAGGAAATTTTCTCAAAGCAGCATATGCTGCACCATCAGAAATCGAATGCTTACTTATTGCGAGCTGACGATTAAGGCTGAAAAAGCCTAGCGCTCCCAACTTTGTGCCGAATAGACCAGTTGGTTTTCGCAAGCCTTCGTTACAGGCATCGAGCAGCATCTTTTTGCGGTATCCAGAGGACAGGTTGTGAAGCTTTGACCGAAGCACTTTTGGTGTATATGTTCCGAGTTCTATAAGAGTTGATCATTCCGAGGAACTTACGCAGTTTACGTATCGTTGTGGGCCGCGGAAAGTTTTCTATTGCCACAACTTTCACTGAAAGTGGTTAAATTCCCTCGCTAGTGATGCCATATCAGTGGAAATCAACTGGACTCAAACAGCACTTAGCGATGTTTACGGGGTTCCTCGATGTTCTACGAAATCGTATCGGCACCGTGTCACCTCATTGATGAAACGTTAAAAGAGGCCAAGTATTGCAATAACGGCCGTTTTGTTAATATAATCTGTTACTGCAGAAATCTGATTAAAGTTACGTACAAGATCGGTCTTCTGGAAGAATCTTTTGTCAGCCAGCTTGGCCGTAAAAACTTCAAGCACACCAGTGGGTTATCCAGTATAATTTCTAGTAATTGCCTGTTGCATTATTATATCGAACTCCATTTGGCGATTTAGAGTTTTTCGGGGTTAAAGCGACGAGGTTTTCTGTATACCGAAGGTCCGGGTGCAGTAGCTTTGCGAAGCTGCAGCCTCTGTTTAATAAGCAGGTATATTCCTTCTGTTTACGTCAGATTCGGGAAGCTTGCGATGAAGCCGGATTATGAAGCGCTATGTGTTTATCATCAAGCAATTTGCTACAATAAGAGTATAATTTATTCTTAGGTGTGGCCCGTGGTAGTCCCGGAATGAGAGACTTTGAAAATGAGTTTAAGTCACAGCCAGATATTGGCTTGATCTGAGCGGCGATCATTTACAGCTGCCAACCGATTAGACTTTTCACTGGAACGAGCACTACTATGGGCAAATATTGGCTCTATTTGCGGAATTTGGTGGTTCCAGCACAAACTGTTTTCGATTGCTGGCAAAAGTTTTTTGTGCGAGAAATAGAGGGACATCGAGAGCGAGGGCATAAGCGGTGCCACCTACAATGAAGTTAATTCGCTGATTGAAGCTTCAAGGCTACGGAAACGTGCGTCAATTGCTGATGAAGTATTCTGTTGAACGTTGTTGATGTGTGCTTTCGGCAATGTCATGTCATGAAATTTTATAACCAGAAATGCGATCTTACCAAGAGCCATTAAGATCTGAGATGCCAGAATAGAATAGCTTATCATAGATAACCAGCTTAACCACTCGGTTCATAGATCCTTAACAGGAACAGTATTTTTGAGAATTCTAAGATGGCGAAGGAACTATGATGATAATGTTTCTCGGTAGAGAAACTGCTGCAGTCGTACATCTCGCTTAAGCGTAAAACTACCTTATAAGCTGTGCAGACCATAAAGCAGAGCGCTCGACGTTGAATGCAGGACACCGTATCGAAACGCGCTGAAGCGGCGATCTTCCTTCTACATATTTGCAGCAATAAATTGCTTTTTCACCGCACAACGTCCTTTGATATACAGAAAGCTGATGAAACTCAAATTTTTATAAATCAGTGCTTTGTACTAAGCCATATGCAAGGTTCGACACCAAACCAACTCACAAAGTGCACAATAAAAAAATGCATTCGAAACTTTGCAATTAGTGATGAAGAATTCACGCTATTATTCGGGGTCGCTAGTGTGGTGATTAGATGAGGTCACTTATAATAAAAGGGGTTTAACATACAATTGCATATGTTTTATTAGTAAGAAAACTAAAACACAGCCATGTACAATACTTGGTATTTCTTTGGTCTTTACGTTCGTTTCAGCGCTGTTTTGTGAACATCGGCTCATTACAATTTTTTTGGATTGCTCGTTACAAATAATTAAATATTTATTTTGGTTGTCGTTCCATTTTTTTGTTTTTTATATTATGGAAATCATAATAAATTTAACAAACTAAGGTCAAAATAACCACTAAATTACAATCTTTTTCACAACTAAGTGCAGGTAATCATAACACTTAATCACCAACAATTTACCAAGGTTTCTTTTTTTGTTGGCCACTCGTTGCACATGCAAACTAATGACACGCCCAAAGTTCTGTAACCGGCAGTTTACCCACTGGGTGCCCTCCTTGACGGAGAAATTTCTGATTCAAGCGCATGTGTATTGACCATTTTTTTCAAAAATGCGTCCCTCATATTCAATCCGTCATTTTACATTTGCCATATTTGTGACCTGTGACCTCCAGGATCCTCGAATGTTGAGTTTCAGGTGAATTTAATGAATTAAAAATAGAACCAACTCCATATTTGATCTTTCGTTTTGAATCCTGGAAAACATACCTCAGGGTAGTAACTAGTATCCTCAAAACCACACAATACATACAATGGCATACAATAATATAATATAAGCTTTGTTTTTTCATATATTGCAGGTGCTGCTCCTATCAAATTGCGTAATGAGAGAATCCACAACAACAAATAAAAAGTTACGACAGTTTCGGAATAACCAAGTAAGCAATGTAAATACATCAACCACAACAAGAAGATGCAAAAAAAATTTTGTTAATGAAACTACTAATTGGCAAAGGAAACAACGTTTTAAAATTAAAAATAAACCAAAGCATCTAGTGCAAAAAAATTTGAAACGATCTAGCTACAAACACTTGACAGAGAAGCTCACGAGCGGAAGTAAATTACCGAATTTAAGATTAAATAAAACAAAGACACCTTTATTAGAAAAAACTCTGATTAAATCAAGAAGGACTACAAAAAAAGGCCCAAAGTGCAAACATCCCCACGGTGTGACAAGTGAAATTTTTTCCCGTATCAAACTGGAGCATTGCAAAGAGAAACCTGTAGAATTTATTACGAATAGGCAAGTTAAAACGCCCTTTATCAACTTTTATTTCAGTACACAGAACTGCATGTGCTGTAATACTTTTACTTGCACGCGAACAGTCAAGGACTCTGACTTCGAACTTCGCGATAAGCGAAGTGTTTTCGATTTGCAGCCTACGAAAAAGCTACGTCAATATGACAACCATCACAGCTTTTTTGGAAAGAAAACACAGCTGCTGAGGGAAGATCTTTCAACTATGCAAATACATAATTTAAGCGCTCAGCAACAAGAACTTATACAACAACTACAGCTGGTACAAAGGCAGTACTTCATACTACAAGGTATATGAATAATTTTTTCTTATATAATAAAAACAATTAAGAAAACTTTAATGAAATTCCAACAGCTTCTTTGAAATGTTTCAATCCTTTTTAGTTGGCATAACATCGTTGCAACTTAACATTGTTATTGCTGAAATCGATTAAATAAATGTCATTAGTCATTTCACCACCAGCCTTTTTCATTTTGTTTACAATTTTTATGCAAAATTTTGTATTTTCGAAAATAGGCAAATTGAGATTGTTTTTTAGGTGAAAATATTCCTGTTTATTGATACATCATCTTTAAGTGACAAAAAAAGCTAAAAAGAACTTACACAAAACCAAAAATTATAAGGCATGATAAACATACGGGCTTGGCCACAAGTATGAGACACCCCCCTTAAATACAAGTATTCTCAAATGTGTCTATCAAAGTTACCACTTCTTTTTGTAATATTCTTACATGAGTGTTTAACTGTTGATTAAACGAATAAATTGTGTTATATTAAAAGTCATTGAGCTCTGGGTAAGCTAAACCTAAAAATTGTAATTTTTAAAAAATTCACAAAGTATTTTCGCTTTTTAAATGTGAAAGTGAAAGTGTAAATTACATTTAGTGAAAAATTACCAATCTTACAAAAACATTTCATATTTATCGATATGCCGAAAACAAGTAAAATAAAATACGATGATAGAGTTAGAATTCAAAGTTCTAAGTGAAGAAGGTAATAGCCTCTTTCCACCGGACCTTAAATGCACTTTAGCTTAAATGCACTTAAACAGCGCATTGCGGTAATTCCCATTTGTTTGTTGTTGTATAAAGAAGAGTTAACACACTTTTCAAAGTGATGTAACTCACTTTCGGAAATTTAACAGATCATCTCGGAAATTTCGGTGTAGTTTTTGCCAGAGTCGTGTATTTTCGGATTTAATGAGGTACGATACTCTTATTTTTCATGATGAATTTTTTTGTTTGAAAATTACTTTAATGCATTAGTTTTAACATAAATGCATATATTAAGTAATTGGCGAAGAGAATTCTTCTCCTCTTTCAAAAAAAAGACTATAAGAAATAAACAAAAAACAATTGTGAAATATCAAATCCCCTCAACATAATAATATACGTGGCTCTCGCAGCTATCAGCTGATTGCGATAAATAAATAAAAGTAAACAAAACTGAAAAAGGAAACAAAACGGCACAAGTGGAACCTTACGGAGGAGCAAAGTTTCCTGAATTGCTGGGAAAAAATAGCTCAGGAATTGAGAGGTTGCCGTAAAAACTCACAAGTATATAAAGAAATGGCGGTGAAGTTAGCGCAGTCGGGGATTGAAGTCACCGGCATTGAAGTAAAATTCGAAATGCAGAACTTGATGTCCAAATATAAGTAAGTTGCTGTAATAAGTATATTGAATATTATCTCATAAGTTTTTTCCTTGTGAACCTGTGTATGCAGAAAGGTGAAAGCAGAAATGGGACCCTCCGGAGCATCGCCGCCAACATGGCCTTTATTTGAAAAAATGGCTAAAATTGTTGGCGGCTACCGTTCGATGAATGTGGAAGTTGTTGTGGAGGAAAGTTTCAGTTGTATGTATTTTCCTACCAAAATCATAAACTATAATTTCATATTTTAATATGTATTTCGTATTATAATTTAGTGGATACACAGGTGCCACCGGTGTCCCCGAGCGCAATATCTCATGCCTTTTCGCAGCAAGGGTTATCCTCGGATAGCGAGCAGCAATCAAAGTTGCGCTTAGCGCAACATACGCGCTCGAGCCAGCAACAAAACCCGGCTACAGCAAATTTTCAGTAGATAACTGCTACGCTTAATAAATGTTGCATGAATATTGAAAGCGCTTTGAAAGAATTGACGGAAAACGACCAGAAAAAAAACAGGAAGCCTTGCTGCAATGTGTGAAACAAGCCACATCTTAGCAAAAAAAATTATGGATTTTTTAAATAAAAATAATTTAATGTACATAGTAGTATTAGTAACTGAATTCCAATATTTAATTTATTTACTTTCTTTTTTGTTTTTTTTTTTGATATTAATTTAATATATGTATGCATTTAATGTTTAAATTGAAAACTGAATTGAGCTGTAATAAAGAATAATTAAAGAGACATAAATTTCTAGATACATATGTTTAAAATTACTTTTGGGCAAAGTGTTTGGCTTAAGGCGTTTCGGTAGCAGTGTATTCCTCTTCATTCTTGAAGCCAGCATCAGGAAGCCAGGTGTCGGTAATAAAAAAATTGTGGAGTACGCAGCAAGCTTTTATTATAGCGTTTGTATTATCGATAGGATTATCCAACCCTTTTCCAATGCGTCAAAATTTGGCCTTCAAATGTCCAAATGCATTTTCAACAACCATGCGGCAACGAGAGAGGCGGTAGTTTGATTCGCGTTGTGCAGGTGTACTTTCCACTTTAAATGGATATGGCTTAAGAGCGTTGCGCGACAAACGAGTCTGCTTTAATAACTAATGGGATTTCCACATTGTTAAAAGATTTCCGTTGATCATAAAGCAACTCGCAATGCAATAGTTCTGGTTTATTGAGGAACTTTCATAATCTCCAGAGTCATTGCATCTTCCTGGACTGCCAACATTTATATATAGAAACTAATACCATACAAATAGAAATCTATTTTATTAATTAAGTAAGTATCATTTATAGTTGCAGTAGTCCACAGCGTCCTCATTCTTTGGTTTGACTTCAATATGATATCCATCTAATTCTATTTATTTCTAGTATTCTGCAGAGTACATATAACGCAATAGTGACATGCTTTTTAAGGGTAATAGCCTTTCGGTAATTGGTACTTTCTTTTCCGATACCTTTCAAAATATCACTTAATTCGAAGAAGTGCTGCCTTTCCAAGCGGAAGATGTCCTTGATATCTAAAGCGCTACATTCTTGGCACTCCTTTTTCCAAAATAAGCTCGTTAGTTAATGGTGTCCCTTACCATTAAAATAATTACAATTATGATTAGTTAATAATAATATGTACATACCTTTCTCCAAATAAGTGGACTTTCTTTTGCCTTATATTCTTTTATAACTAAAAGAAAATTGCGTGTCATCTCCAAAAAAGTTGTAAGCATGCAAAAATGCACTTTGGTTTCAGCAGCGTCTGCTTGTGCAGCAATAATCTGCACTTGCAAGTCATAATATTATATACATAGCAAAATAAAATGATTACGGTCTCTTGAATTCATAATTTCAATACTTATGACAAATTTTTCAAGTTTCAAATGCAAACAAAAATCAACTGTTTGAGTTAACTCTCTTTCGGTGGAAACGTTTGACATTTGGTGCTCGGTGGAAATAGGCTATAAGTCTCAGATTGAGATTGCAAATTTGGTGGGATGTTCGCGGTGCGCGGTCCAATATGCTATCGAGCGATTTGTGGAGACGAGATCCCACAATAATAAATCAAAAAGTTGAAGAAAGCGTTTAACCAGTAAACGAATAGACTGAATGCTTACTTATACGCAAGTGTCTCAAGGATCGCAAAAAATTTTCTTCTGCACTTGCAGCTGCCCTTTCGGATGAATTTAGTAAACCAGTTAATGTTCGGACAGCTAGAAGAAGCGGGTTTAGTAGGATGTAAAACCCGAAAGAAGCCGTGGCTCTCAAAAAAGAATAGGAAAAATCGTTTCGAATGGGCTCGCCGATACCAACATTTCACGGAAGAAGATTGGTCGAATGTTCTGTGGTCTGATGAATCAAATTTCGAGGGATACTTAGTTTAGCAAGAGCCATTTTGAAGACATAGTAAAAATCTTATGAAAACATTTTTGTTCTTTTCTACAGATATATGGAACACTTTGTGTGTTGGGGAAGAACATCATCCTGATTGCGTGGTACCCACTGTTAAGCATGGAGGGGGCAGCACTATGATCTGGGGCTGCATGGATGTTAATGGTGCCGACGAAATTTTCGTTTGCGAGGGTCGCATGGACAGTCAAAAGTACATAAATGTAATAGAAGCTGTTTTTATGCTTTCGTTTAGGCGCAATTTGGCGATACTAATTTAGACGGGGTTCGATTTCAGCAAGACATTGCTTCTGTCACAAATCAGCGACTACGACACGTTGGTTTACAGATAACAATATTGTTTTATTAGATTGGCCTGCACAGCCTTCATATCCTAGTCCCATTGAGCACATGTAGGCTATTTTGAAACGCAAGATTGAGAAAAACAGTATTACATCAAAAACTGCCTTACAGAATGCCTTAATTAACGAGTGGTACGCTATAAGTGCGGACGAATGTGCAAAGCTTGTACGCAGCATGCCTAAGAGAATTGTTGCCGTTATTAAATCGAGGGGTGGACCTACTAAATATTAATGTTATTATCACTAATTCATTGTATGTTCACTGTTATACTAATAAAACTTCATTACTTTAATTGTTAAAACAAAAAATTTAGTAACTAGAGAGGTGACTAATACTTTTAGCCAAGGCTGTATTTGTTGTTTTTTTTTTTTTAAATGTTCATGCTTATAATTTGTTTATGCTTGTTTGTTAATTTATAAATTTTATGACTGCGCTAAATCAAAAACTATTCACTTGGTTAAATGATTGAATACTTGATATTACCCTATTTAGTCCATGAGGTTATTGGTATTAAAATTAGAAACCACGAAGCCGAGCAAGGATACGTCGGTTAAGTTTGACAACTTTTTTTTAAAAATTTGTATGCGTTGCTCAATCAAATTACCGTTAGTATGAATGCGGAGTTACGATGCTGGTGAGATTACCATATCCTGCGCAGACTACTGCCTTTATGGATTGTATAGAGCAGGCTTATATTCCAATCATTAGGCATGCGCTTATCTGGCAATAGTTAACGAATCAGCTAATATTCATACGCCTTTCGTGGCCTTTTGTTCTAAAAACCAGTACTCACTTCCCGAAGTTAATTATGCTCCCGTGACGAAGCATTAACCCGATCACCATTGGGCGTTGCGTTGTACGTAGTTTAGTAGTATATTATAATATGTATTATATATTGAGCATCTTTTCTCCTGTGCATATTTTATCGAAGACAGAAAAATATGATATTCTTAATATTTTATTGTTTGACTTTTTACTTATATAATCCCTAAAATTTTAGTTGTACTTGATTATATATTACAGGTTTTGTAAAACCATTGCAATTGGACTTTCAAGCACAGTATAATAACGGTGGTAAAGCGTTCGGGAGTTCACTAAATAGAGGACATCAGCAATTACATTTGCCACAGAACTCGTTGGGCACAGGCAATGATAAGTACAATGAAACGAGTTATTTGTTACAACATCAACAACAAATGCACATCCAACATGATCAGAAATTGAATATTCCAGTCAATGAACATAGACAGCATCAAGGGCGACAACAAAAATACAAGGAAGACATTCACACCCTATCAACTAGCAATAAAATGAAAAGCATGCATTTGAACATGAATGATAATAATAAAAACAATAACGTCACAATAAGTGACAGCAAAAAATTTATCAAACTTATAAAATCAACATCGAAACCACGCGACCAACAATCAGAACAGCACAACCACCACTCATATAGGATAGAATCAGACTGTAAATCGGTTACAAGAGATACATCACATAGAGAGAGTGATGAGAGTAGTTTATGTGATGGATTTAAGCCCGCAACTATAGAATCCATGGAAGGCGATCAGCTATTGCAGCCCACTAGCCGATCTGCTTCTTCATACCGTTGCAGTAGAGAGGCAAGTTTTATTAGTTATGAACATTATAAACGAAATACCAAAAATAATATCGAAAGTGGAAATAAAAACGCTTTCCATAAACACAAGTGCATTATTCGCCAAAAACAGCAACGGCAAAAAGAACTGGATGTAAGCGATGTAATGAGTAAAACATCTGGAAATGCCGATGACCAAGAAAGTAGCCTTATCGGCAATAATAGTTTTCCAGGGTATGAATCAATGCCAGCAGTGAATGAAAACGCTATGCCCTTTACTCCACACGTACGCCCGCCCTCAATAGGCAATTTGTACAGTAGTAAGAATTCTCAACATAATATTTTAGTGGGCGAAATTTTCGGAGCACGACAAAGGAAAAGGATGAGTTTTGACCATTGACCAAGTCAGCAATGTAACCGATGATATAAATGGGAATTTAATGAAAAGTATATTTAGCTTAGATTTCGTGCTAATCCTTAATATAAAAAATATTATATTTTTTCGTTATACTCCGTAGCATATATACATTATCAACAAGATATTACCGGAGAAACAAGCAGAAGTCGAAATCGGAGTAGAGTAGCGGGAGTCGAGGCCCATGTCTAAGTTTAGGAAGTAAAAATAGCAAGCAAAATACAACAATTAACAACGATAATGATAAAGGCTTTAGTTATGAACTTCATTCTTGCTTAAGTGATGACATATCTCTAAACAACGTCACTCAAATGCAACGGGGACAGAAAGACACGCTGCATCAGCAGCAGCAAAAACCGCAACTTCTTTTAGGAAAAAGCACACCTTCCCTAGTTTCGTCCCTAGTAACACTGCCCCAATCGCTTCCGCAGCTAACGATTTTGCCATCTGCAGCTGTGGCACCAGCAGTATCGCTTGCACAATCACCACATCATAATGCAGCTGCAGCCGTGGTAGTAGCAGCAGCAGTGGTAGCATTCAGCTCTGGCTTTCGAAGTACATCATCAACGAAAAAGAAATTATTTTAGACGTAAAACATTTCACCATACCAGTCGTACCATATCTAAAAAAAATGTTTATAATTAATTATAATTATAATTTAATTATAATTATAATTTAATTAAATTCGTTAAGGGGGAAACCTGATTTAGAGGGTAAAAAAATTGATTTTTTGAAACTTATCTCATTAGAAATATATTTCAGAGTCAAATTCCTTATCGTTCCGCAGAAATGGCCTCTGAGAGACAATGCGCTCCGGAGACTGATAAGCGGGCGCGAGAACTTTGAACGCGATTTTCTCAAAACAGTGTTTTTCTGTTTTGTGCACACGATTAAAAACTTGTAATTGTCGCACTTTCATAATAGTCTAGGCTTATATTTGAACCTTAAGAGTCACAAAAAAAAATTTATTAACTTTTTTCAATAAATTATCTTAAAATTTCTTCAGAAAAACGCAAAAATTTTTATAAACAGTCATAAAATAAATAGTTTTATACATTTCTTCAAATATCTTAGGTTCACATAGAAGTGCAACTCCTAAGCTACAAAAAAAGTATTCGTTTTTATGTTTCAGATGAAAACTACGACCGCTATTGTGTTCACAAAATAGGCTCTTCGATCGAGAAGTGCCACAAACAAATAAAATGAAAGTTAATTTTTTTGCAAGATTTGTGTATCTATGACCTATTTCTAAAGTACTTGAAACATTACGTAAGGCAACTTAAAACACTGTGCCGAATATCATACAATTTTCAGCGCTCTTAACCAGGATAAATGATTTAATCAAAATATGGCTTGGTACACTTAGTTTTATATTTAAAGAAAAATTTTTTTAATAAGTGAATAAGTCACATTTCATCAGAATCAGAATTTTGCGTTCATTTTACTCATTTTATATACTTACGGTCAGATCTATGACAGATGTGCTGGGGAAGGACGAAATATTCACAACAAACACACACACGCATTAATCCGGCTTAATGATTTTTTTCCTCTTACTGAAGCTCATACCGTAGCGTAGTAAGCATTGATAATAAATAAGCCATTCTGCCACAGAAGGATCCAGATGATCAGCAATTACATTCTGTACAATGTATGAGAGAAGAACCACCACATGGGAAGTCCAATTTAAAAGACGGACAGCTTGACACTTGATTTCAAACCGCAAAAAAAGGAACTTCTTAGTTTAAATTCAAAATTCATAAGCTTTAGCTTTAATTTGTTGAATAAAAACTTAAAGAAAGTCAACACGAGTATTTTTGTCGGTGGTTATTCTTCGACTATATATAATATACTTAGATAAATATCGATTCATTTTTTTTCTGTTTTATCTATTTAGTCCACATTATCTCCATCATTTTTTACATTAGCTATATATTATTCTTCCTGTTTTATTTTACGAGTATCAAAATTAATTTTGAGTTGAATTAAGTTTCCTTGTTTTCCTATTATTCCATAAAACTTAAGAGCGTCTAAGGTCCGAATCCTCTTTCCTATAAGCATCATACAACACTCATTTGAGCCACCGAATAAATTTGAAATAATCTTTTGATTTCATTTAAATTTTCTATAATGTTATTAATTTTCTTACTCTTTTATACTCAAAATATATTCATTGCTATTACCCATTTTTAATAAAAAGTTTTTTGTATATTGGGAGCATATATGTTGAGGCGGCTAATAAGATCGCTGCACAAAGTACTTTATGAAAAAAATGTATAGGTTTACGTTTGTTATTTTTCAATATAGTCTCCCTCAAGTGGAATACACTTTTCACATCGTGAATATAATACAATGCCGCTTTTATCTCACCGTCTTCTGAAAGTCTTCGTTCCCGTAACACCTCTTTAAATATAAAAAAGAAAAAAGTCACTGGAAACCAGGTCTGGTCTGTAAAATGGATAGATAATTTCTATAAATCTAGTAGCTTAGGTATCCCGAGCTGCGTGAACAGATGCGGTGTCCTGAAGAAACAGCACTCCGCGCGCTTACTTGGCGCGTGCCTTCTGTACGACTGCCTAACCCGCCTATTTTAATTAATTAGCGTAATACAGGTATATTCTCTCCATCGATTTCTGTTTAGAATCAGTATCATACTCACAAATCCAGATTTCATGAACTGTTACAATTCGATTGCAAATTTCATCTAAATTATCTTGGAACAACTCCAAAAAATCTTTACGGCTCTCCAATTGTCGCTTCTTGCCTTGCGGCGTGAGCATTCGCTACTACTTCTTCTCATATTCAAATGTGCATTCAAAGTCTCTCCGGTTCATTCTTTGCTAATCTGTAATCCTCCTGCTATCTTCCACAACTTAATTTTTCGATCAGTCAGTACTAATTTTGACTTTTTGAATATTTCATCTTTACAGATCCATCTTCCTTGTTGAAACAGCGGAGCCAATTTCTTCAATATTCATATACAATACAATACAAGAAGTCCTGAAGAACCGATGATATCTCTTTGAAAAATTCTTTCGGACGACTTTCTTTTTTTACAAGGAAATTAATCACAGCGCGGTGATGCGAATTGTGAGAAATTCCAGTTTTCGTTGACAGAGTATTGTTTCTTGTTCCAGGAATGAAATGCTAATGAACCTAATAAAAGACTCTATGTTATTTATATTAATAATGAGTCCCGCAATTAGTAGTATCAGTAACGATATGATGTGTGTTCATTCTCTTTCAGCCTCTTCAGTGTCTTCACGAATTGTAGGTACCATAAACGTGAGACAACAATGTAAGGGGAAAGATGAGAAATTGTAACTTATTAGACACGAATTTATATTCCTATTGTATACGTTCAGGTGGGTTATTTACGCACATTTTTTTGATGTGAAAAGACATACTCGTATTGGATACTCCTGTGAGGGAGTAGTTAACTACAACAGCTGATCAAGCAACGCCGAGTTTCCTTGGGATTTGTATAGCGATTAGAGAAATCGTTAAAATCAACGCTAAGTGCTCACTTGATTTTTTCAATTGGGGCCGTGCTGCAGTTACGCTTGTTTTGTTAGTTTAAAGAAAAGAAAACGAACCCAAAACTCCACAATGGTGTGTTAAAACTATTTCCTTTTTGATATGTTAGCTGTTCAATATTTATTTCGTAAATTATATTAATGAATGTTGTTTTAAAATTTAGTTTAGTGTTACAAAAGTATCATATTTGAGCGTAGCATATGACCGTTTTCACATTGAAATATTTTGTAATAACGGTTTACTTTGGATATAAATTTGGAGATGCTTATACTATAATGTCATTTTTAACTTAGATGTCATCATACTTTTCTTGTGTCTACGTACGCACTTACATATATTATTGTTCACAGTTCATATGCCTACTTCTGTAAACAACCTGCTTCTACTTTTTGATGCTGATCGTTTAATATAATTTTTTTCTTTGTTTGTCCTTGTTCACATTTTGTACCTTGCTGACATTGTTTATCCTCATTAATTCTGAGTTTTTGTGTCAATGTGGGACTTTCTTCTCGGTAAACAAGCATTGTTCAATTGTGGCGACGGCTGCATTGACATTGCATAATTAGATGCATTTGCTTTTACAACATGTTCAGTGTTGACTAAAATATGTTGGTCCACCTCTTTTCCAAACGCTTGCGAAATCGTAAGTGCCTGGCGATGTTATTGCTCGGGTTTTAGAGGAATACATATATCGAGATTATTTAAGAACTTCACAGTGTTAGTTATACGAGTATAAGGAGTTTCCAGTGTAGGCTGCGCACTATTCGAGTTATGATTAGTATCTGTTGATGGGCTTCTGTAAGATTCATTTTGTAAATATCAACGTTCCTGGCAATATAATTGATGCTGTTGCTGAGTAATATATCCTTGGTATCAAAACTCATGAAATGTCGTCTGCTGATCATGTAATCTACATTGAAGATTAAAAATAAAAATATATAACCAAGGAGAATAGGAATATAACAGTATAGCATTACGATTTGTTTAAGCTTATGATTATCTTACCGAATGCCTGTTTGACTTGATGAATCAATTAGAAATTTTTGCGGTAGGTGACGTACCATATGTAGCTCAGTAGCCGTTGCAAAATGTTGATAGTTTTCTTGTGTTTGCTGTGTTAACGTAAAAACAATACTTGTTACACTTGGTTCTTCGGATGTGGACATGCAAGCCCATATGTTCTACAAAATTAACCATCATAGCAAGTGAAAACAGTAACAAAATAAAATGCCTGAATATAATTTGTTAATTGTTCCCAAGACAAAAACTAGAGAAGGCAATTACTCTGTATATAACACTGGTCTGTATCAAAATCCTCTTTTAAAAACGTACGTGTATGTCACAGCTATGAAGAATTTCATGCTTTGAATTACCAGCACAAAAAACTTTTAATGAAAGTTTACGAGAAGATTTAGGTTTTCAGCACCAAAGGAGTTTTAGTTACATTTTCTTCTTGATATAATTTTATCTGGATAGATCTTCAGATCTGTCAAGAAAATTTGTTGATTAAAAGTACGAGAGCCTCACAATGTTAAAGGCTTACGAGTTATTTTGCCAAAGAATATGATTTTTTCTACTGGAATGATACTGCAGGGCTTCTTAAAAAATCTACTTTTCAATTAAACTCTGAAATGCTTCGAAGATTAGTTTCAAAGTTGGTTTTCAAATCAGTAATAATAAATACCCATCAGAACCTGTGGCACAAGTAACAAACCATCAGGGGTATTACAAAAACAGTTTGTTGTCAGAATCAGAATTCAAGCCGACAAAATTCTCTTGAAATGTTACACATTCGGACTACTGATTTCGGTATCGGTTCCGAAACAGAATTTGTTACGGTTTTAGGTGTTATAGAAACCGATTTGTAGGTTTACCTGCTAGATTTATACCGAGCAGTTATTCGTTGTCAGATATGTGTGCTTACTTCTTTGAAAGCCGACAATTAAAAAAAGTATAAGTCATAAACAATGGGTTTTAGAACTCATGACACTATGTATCACATTCCAGGTATTACTGATTCTAAATGTCAGAATCAGTAATACCTAAGCGC